TCTTGCGATACATGCGTGTTTATCCTCCCTACCAACGAGTCCTCTATCCTCTTCCTCTATTTCATTATTCCTCTTTCTTATAATGATCCTTGTTGCCTCCACTATCCCGCTGCAGATCCTTGCACCTATTCATTCGCAATGTGTACTCCCTTCACTTCTGTTAACACGTGTTCTTCCTCGAGTTTGTATCCGTGCGTGCGTGCTTTCGTGCATGCACCCTTTGGCCAACTCTTTCCTTTTCTCTTCCTCGGCTACCTCTCTTCCCATATTCACCTGCCTCGGCAACACTCGACTTTCTTATCATCAGCGCCTCGTTTATAGTTTTCCCATCTCCTTCCCCGTCTTGTCCGCAATATTCGCCATCTCCTATACCTTATTTGCACATTCCCCGGTCCTCGCGGCCCCCGCGGCTCGGCTCCCTCTTAAATCCACTAACGCATTCCGTCCTCGTCGCGCCTCGGGTTGCGCTCGCGAGCCGCCGGCACCTTAAGCAAGGCAATTACAACGGTCATCGCTCGCGCGCGCCATGGCAATTAAGGTGCTCCCAATTATTACCGAGTTCTCGCTCCTCCCGCCCTGACCTCTCGGCCCTCGGGCCGGTATCGGAGGGAGGCAGCGTCCTCCCATCCCGCGCACATCGATGTATTCGCTTCTTCACACGCAGGCGAGTGCACGTGCGCATCCGAGTCGGAGCGCCGTGAAACAGATCGGCGGGCGGCAAGGGCCTGGGGTGGGGGCGAGTGGGGGACCGGAGGGAGATACGAAGCGCACACGCGCGCGCATAACGAGTGCGCGGGTAGAAGCACGCGATGGAGGCGAGGCTGCCGGTCTTTCTCCCTGTCGTCGCCGGGGGAACTCGTGTGGGCCGCGACGAGGTAAGTGCCCTCACGGAAGTTGCCGATGCAATTTATTGGTTTACTTTTCTCCAGCCGTCCCTGCCCCGCCGCTCGTCGCTCTTTGTCTCGCTCCTTTTCTGGACGAACATTCGTATAAACAGCTCGCTGATAGATTGATCGCGGCGTATTATCTTCCTTTTTCAGATTGTTTTCTCGTTATCTTCGTAATTGAATCATTTTTGCTCCTCTAACGCTCTCGCTCGGCTGCGCGATACTGCATTTACAAGAATCTATGTATGGTAATTACTCGAGTAAAAAACAAAATGGGTAGAAAACGGATTTTTTCCTTCCTCCTTGCGTCGGATGCGTGCTTGTAATAACGCGTTGGAAAAATGTTTTTAAATTGACTCATTATGAATTGTTGTTGCTATCGGTGTACCAACATGTTGATTGAAATGTTTTAATTTACGTGAAACCTATTAAAATAGCACGCTCGTTATAAAAATCTAAAAATGTATGCCGTGCAATTAATTTTTTATCATCATGATCGTCGTCATCGTAGTAGCGATGGTAGTAGTAGTAGTAGTATTAGTAATTTGTAATAGTAATTTTTGTTGTTGTTGTTGTTGTTGTTGTTGTTGTTGTCGTCGTAGTAGTAGTAGTTTTTGTTGTCGTTGTTACTGTTGTTCTTAAATGACTTTTTTAATCAAAACTGTCATTTCTATCAACAATTCGACGGAATTTTAATTTAAAAATGAGCGGAATTATTATTGTGAGACAATTTGGCCATTATATAAAAAATTCTAAAATTTAAAATAAAATTTAACTTTCAAGTCGTTAAAAATTCCTTGACAAATAGGATTGCAAATTTTTTATTCGGTACGAATAAAATTTTCAATATTATTACGAGACGCAGCTATAATTTCAAACGCCCATAAAATAATGCATTTCAATATGTAAAATTCCAATTTATTTTTCATTAAAATCCTAAGGTTTATGTCGTTACTCCATATACGTTAACTTGTAATTAATAATAGTATTAATTGCGGTATAATTCCTTCAATACTTTTTATGTTGCTGACGTAAATGGAAAACGCTTCATAATATACGTTATTAATTAGCATTGACTTTCATTATGAATTGCGAACATACGCAAAAGAGAATGAGCGCTTGCAAATTAATGCCCCGGCGAGAATGTTATAATTAGAAACACTAAGTGATAAGAGTATTAAATTCGGAAAACTTCAACATATGTTTAATTAACTTAACCTAATTAGATTTATTTCTCTTCGCTCATCTCCCACTGCATGTTCTTTCTCCCCCCCCCCCCGACCCTTCATCGAATAAGCCAAACAAATTCCCACACTCCCGTTCAAGCGTCGAAATGTTGTAGAAAAGAAAATAAGAAGCGTCAACGTGACATTGCAACATGGCTCGTTGTCGTAACTGGGAAAAAAAGGTAGAGTTGTCTGAATTAACGTGACAAGGACCGTGATTTCAGAAGGATATCCTGGACGGAGACGTCGGATGTCAGACGTTAAATCGAGTCTCGAAACAAAGTGAAGAAACAACGCGACTTTACGTGCCGCTGCTACAGTAGACACTCACCCGGTGGTCTTTGGGCCAAACCTCACTTTTCTTCACTGCAGTCATCCACTGTATGAAATATTTCTTTGATGCACGAAACGAACAATTACGTTAGCTATAATATTGAAATAGCATTTACTAGCAATTATACTTTTTAGAAGGTCAGTTAGCGTTTACATAAACTTACCGATAGCATGAATAATTGCGGGTTGAGCTCAACTTAATAATCTTATCGTATGCTAAATAAATATCTCATAAGAGACTTATAATATACTTTTTATCTAAGTAACGAACTCTTTGTTGCATTAACTTGGTCTCGGTCAAGCAATTTAAATGTGTACGCAAGGCTACAATGTTCCTTTCATTCTTTTATTTATCTCTGCATCAATATGTTCTAATTAATAACTTTCAACATAGTTATAACACAAATATATGGCTCCATACAAAAGGTCTCCAATTAAACTTAGCAGGTAAACTTAGTAGTTACCAAGATTTCAACGACACATTTATATAGCTTAAATGAATTGCAGAAAAGTCAAATATATTTATTTACACATTAATTATAGTTCTAAATAAATTGTGCAGAAAATGGAGTAAATATGACCCGAATTAACTTAATTTCTCTTAAAATCCTTAAAAATTTTATTATCTCGTAATTATATAATTCAAATACTTTATGAATATTATTAACTCTAAATACTTACAAAAAGAACTGTATACAACATAACGTTGCAAGTAACATTCTATTAAAGATAATTTCATTTTTATATGCACATAATTGTATAATTTCTAAATATCATCAGTAATTCACGTTTATTCGAAAAGTGGAAAATTAATCATTTTATGATAGATTGAAAAACATAGAATTAAAATAAGCAAACTTGTGGTTCAGTAGATTATTTATTTATTTATTTATTTATTTATTTATTACAGTATATATATATATATATATATAGAGAGAGAGAGAGAGGGGGGGGAGGAATTTAATTATAATTATCATCTCTATTAAAGAAATTGCAATATAAATGAAAAAATCCAATTTTCAAATTTATATACCATCAATAAAAATAATAATCACGATAATTCAAGAAATCAAATGACTATAGAATATAAATAATTACTTAAAAAGCCGAGTATAATAAATTTGTTTTATATACTTTTACATTACTGCATTATTAATAATGCATCTATTAATAATAAGAAGTAATTCTTTTTAAGCTCCTACTGTATATTCTGCTTTTAATTTTCCAATATATATAATGTAAAATTAATGAAAATTGTTTTATACATTGTATTGTAAAATATTAAAATATTAATAGAGTATTAATTAATTATATGAATAATAATTTAATGTATAATATATATCGATTCTGTTAATTACGAATTAATAATGAAATAATTAATGAGTAAAAATAATTACTTAAATATTTGTTTTGTTACTTTTGTGGAGGGATTTTATAAAAATTTTTATTCTGGTATGAGTATTGCGTAATTGCGCATTGATACGTTCATCTCAGTTTCCAAGTTAATTAAAGTAGAAAAACATTATCATAAAATTGAAATTTATGACCCTGAATAATGTGAGATAATAGGGTTGATGGTTTCGCCTAATTATTTATTCTACATTTCAGAATTATGTAGATTATAAAAGTAAATAATACAAATATTCGAAAATAAGCTGATTTAATATCGCAATTGAAGAGAAGAACTTCCGAAGACAGCTGATTGGCAAGGAAAACAATTGAATAAGTACAAAGGCGAAATGAAATATTTATAAAAGAAAATTCGAAAGCTATAAGAATAAATCCAAATAATACGTAATATGCCGTGCCATGCAAAACAAATACGTCTCTTTATTTTCACTATAAAAGCTTCATTTTAAGCCAATAAATATATAATCAGATCGATGCCTGATTCAATTCCGGGTTGTAGACTGCACAGAAGCCGTATAGAGTCAATGGGGTGGAATTCCAATCGATCCAATATCGTACATAATTAACCTAACCTATTTGCAATTACACGAGTTACAGGAGGAGAAAGAGAATCGGTGAAAGAACGCGGGTATGGTGGTCCGGTGGGGTGCGGTGGGGTTTCCGCGGGTCGGAGGACCTTGGGTGGGCGGGAAGGTGAGGGTGGGCAAACGGCGATAGTACCGAAGGGGGAGATGGCATCGATGGTGTATAAGGAGGGGGTTGTGGCGTGAGATGTGTCGGTGGTTAAGGGGGAAGGGGAAGGTGTAAAGCGCAGGGAGGGGGAAGCGGTGAGGGGAAGCGGTACAGCTAAAGTCAATGTCGACACGAGCCATTAAATATTAAATTCTCATCTCATCAATACGGAACGAGCCGCTGAATTAATTATTCGAGGTTTCTTTCCACGGCGGCAGGCCCTCGCTAGCAAAATTGCCAATTAAGAGTTAATTAAACATCGGGATAAAAAGCCAAAAGGTACACAAAAGCGAATAGTCGCGAACGCAGGTAAAGGCGCGAGCCGACGTGGTGAGAGCGAAAAAGGGAAAAGTTAAGGAGGCGGTGGGGCGATGATTCGATTAGGGGCAACGACTGGAATGAAATCACTCACCGACGTGGAAGATGAGTTTCTCGACTATCCCTCTGGCCTCGTATTCCCACAGCGGGCGAACATGTATGACGACGCGCTCCACCAGGCTCACTACAATAATCACTTTTCCTTTTTATTTCCTTTATTTCCTTTTCTCCCGCTCCGCTCGAATCACATCCACATGTCGGCTCTCGAGAAGTTCGAATCCTAGCACTCGCGCACGCACTGGAAACGAGCAGCACGCGCACCCAAGGATATTGCGACTGAGATGGATAGATAGAGTGTCCGTGCGGGCGCGCGCTCGCGCGCCCGTATTTGTATTGTATGGAGAGATGGATAAAGAGAGACAGACGTACAGACGGACAAACAGTTAGAGAGGTAGGCAGACAGGCAGACAGGCAGACGGCCAGGCGGGCAGACAGACGGATAAACGGTTTGACAGACGGTGAGGAGAGCGCGAGAAGAGGGGGAGGAAAAGAGAGGAAGAACAGCGACTCCGGACGCGACGAAGGTCCGACTCGGTGTGCGAGCCGCGCGAGCGAACGCTGCCGCCGGTACCGCCGCCGACGATCTCGAGCGCCTGCGCGCGCCCCCGACGCCTCCCAGCCTCCGCCACCACCTTCTCCTCCTCCACCTCCTCATCCACCTCCTCCCCCACCTCCTCCTCCTCCTCAACCTCATCGGCTTTCTCATCCTTCTCCTTCTCCTTCTCCTCTTAATCCTCATCCTCATCCTCAATCCTCATCCTCATCCTCATCCTCATCCTCTTATTCAACCGGAGGAAGAGACACGAGAGGATCGCGTCCGGCTGGATTGTAAATGCAACTTTGCCGAAAACCAAGGAAAGTGTTCCGCGAGTACATTACATGAAAATTAAGCGAAATGAGAGCACCATAGGCTGACAGCAAGCATTCTGTGCAACTTTAATCGGCGACATTTCTCCCATTTGCAATCGGGACCTTTATTACTCCTCTCCGAGTCATGTCAACTCTGACTAGACATTGACTTTTTAAAGAGTCCTTCGGAATATTGAGGCATTGAGGGGCTCTGCTCTTGATAGATTGAAGCCCCAGTCATATTGAAACTAACGATACTTAACACCAGCTATTATACTCGAGTATCTGCTCGACAGATGCACGAAAGTAACGAGACATTACTCAAAATAATTCAGCCACTTTGAATCCTCCTAATTACGTAAGCGCAATAAGACTTTTAATTGTAAAGCTTACACGTTATTAGCTGACATAATTATTATGCACAATTCCTATATCATGGGAAGGTCATATTAATTTTAATTAGGTATTCAAAATTTAATTTATTTAATTGTATGTTAAATCGTAAATTCAATTCAACAAACAAAGATAAATCGATTTATTTCAATGATCACCTTGAATTTAATCAAAATTATCGTATCTACCAAAGTTCATTTTATTTTTAAAAGCCATTGCTGCAATTAATAATGTTGAAACGTCAATAAAACTAATAGAGACAGGCGTCGAATATTACGTGAATATCGACGTAAACATACCATATAATTGCTTTTATTTACTGTAAGTCCATATAGCAAGAACTCCATTTTTCATGATCTAAAAACTTTCATTATTAGTAATTACACAAATTTACAAACTTACTGCTTTTATCGATGCAAATAATCGATTTATCTCATGCGAGATATTTTTTATAGTCATTTTCGTTCCTTTATATTTATACCATACTATAAAATTTAAAAGTTTCATTAAAATTAAATTATTACTTTCTTATCTTTCTTCTAGCTTTAATTAAACAGATATTCATATGAAACAAATAAGTTGAAAAACTAATCGAGTATAACGATTTTATAACTTATCGTCGTACGTGCTTACCAAATAAACGCATGTATCAAATTAATAAGTAAATATAATGGATAATTAATTGGCCATGTGTGCGCGCATAGGAATGCGTCAATACAAGTGACTGGATCTCTATACATACACATTTTTTTCGTTATATAACTCAATTATAATATCAAACCGCAATAAAATAGTCCTAAATTCTATTGAAAACTCATTTTATTAAAATACTATACTGATTATAAAATAAGCAAATAAAATAAATATCATCCGAAATGTGTAATTAGAATTCGAATCTATCGAAACAATCACACATATCCATTTCTATAATAGAGAAACAAGCTAATATTAATACACGAGTTTAAAATAGAAAATTAAACTTAATGACTTGAGCAGAATAAATAATTTGTATTTTATAATTTTTAATTTTTACTCAATATGTATAGTTGAAATCATCATTTTATTATTTAGACCTTCATATTAATAATTTTATCCATATTTAATTTTACGTTATTTGTTAATTTTATTGTGTGTGTTTATTGTCATAATATTACATAAAATAACTATTGCCATCTATATAAACCAAATATTAAAAAAAAAAAAAAAAAAAAAAACGAACAAACTAATAAGACTAAAGCTTGTTCAAATTATTTATTAATGTATCGAATAAAAAATAATTGTTAAAGATGTTAGGGGAGAATTAATAGTAATGACTAATAGACAAAGCATCAAAATTATAAAATATGATTTTATCTAATTATTTTTCTAATGGTTGAAATAATATTTATCCGATAGATCTATCAATAAAATATATTAAATGTTATGTATTTATTATGATTTATAATATTTATCCTTCTGTTGTGTTCTACTTTAATGAATCATATTCATCTAATTTATTCTAGATAAATTTAAATTCATGTTATCTAATTCTCAAATATTTTCACTAAATAAATCTCAGCGGCAAGATAATAGAAGTCCATAATTACTGCTAATTAAATTATTTATATAATTAACTCGAGTTCATTTTAACAAAAGTATTGTGATAAAACGTAAAAATTCTTTATACTACAGTGAAGTGCGCGTAATTTTAATAAAAGCTTATTCAAACCATAAGAATTAATAATAAACGCTTCATTATTCCTATTAATCTTTATTGTGACTAAAGACATTTTCATTATTTTGAAAAGCATTTCATCTTTGAAAATATTTCTATTTATAAAAATATAAGACTTGAGACCTAAGATACACTCAACACTTTTATTGATAAAACTAAGTTACATGTTAATGCGATTATTTATATGATTATGTATGTAAATTATGATGAATAAAAATATATGTAATTAAAAACATATTAAATATATTAAAATATATAAACTTATTGTTTAGTTTATATATTGTAAATATGTTACATACTAAATACGGAGAATAAAGTTAAATAAAATTAATAACAATTCATTTAATCTTTACTTTTCAATTATGTTTCTATATTTATATATAGAAGATGGCCTTCGAAGTACTGATTTTTATTCCGTTCTGAAAGATAATTTTATAGATTCTTATAAGCTATTTAGTAAGTAATATTTAACTTCTTCGTACTTCTGTTCTTTATTATTAATTAATTTATTATCATATTAAATTTAAATAGAGCAAAAATACCATTTAAAGAATTTCATAGATTCATAATACATAATATATTCTTAGAATTAGTTTACTCGATAATTATCGCGTTCATACTACTATGTACAAACAATTCTAAATTTAAAATATGATAACGGTATTAAATACTAGTTACTAAATAAAATATTTGCTCATAAATTAACAAAATAATGCAGATTAAACAAAAATCTACATTGTTGATTATCCTTGATGATCAACAGAAGGCACATATACAGTTATCCTTGAATTAGTATCACCTTTTCTATATTCTTTAATTCAATGAAAAACAATAATGACTTAGTAATGAAATCTATGTTATCGCTCCAATTTATGTAGAAAATTCGTAAATTAATATCATGCGACTGTTTTCTAATTAAAATTTAGATGATATCATTAAATCAATGTTGACTTTCAACTTTTCAATTAGTTAATAAAATTATTGTAATTATTATGGTGATCGATTAATGTAATTATTATAAAATTATATTCAAAAACTCGATATTGATAGCATAACAATTCTAATTTTTATACAATGGATTAAATAAATGTTTTAAGCTATATTATTTCATTTGATAGAATACTTTCATATTTATGTCTTCTACAATATTTCTTTTGTAAATTTATTAGTTGTCATATGATTAATATAGCTATTACTGTTAAAAGATTCCAAAGTAAATTCCAAAATATGTATGAATACTCAAATATAAAACAATAAATAATAGAAATACATTTAATTTATAATGAATAATGTTAATATTTCATTTCAAGAATTAATACTTATCGGCAATTATACCTAAACATAGTCAATTGATACTTTGTATTAGTATTCGTAAATCGACGTTAAACTATATTTAAAATGATAAACGATCGTTCCAAACTTCGATATATCTACAATATAATTTTATTACTATCAAAGTATTATCAATATTATATCGAACGTAGTATTTTTCCGATATTAAATAATACTATCGTATAAATTATACAAGTGATGATGATGATGATCGAATTCTACATCTATATTTATGTCTATTTTAAAATTGTTTAAATTAATATACATTAGCGAGAATATAAATAAATTTACAATCTGAAATTTCTAAGTAAATATTACATGTTGTAAAGAAGGAAGATACAGTCCAACCTGCCAATGACAAATTATATTATAAAATTATTAGATAAATGGAAACGTAAGGTCTTTATGAAAATTTAAAAAATAAAAATAAATGTTTTATTTTGGCATTTGATATTTTATTATATATACATATATATATATATACTAATAATCCACGGAAAACATAAGAATGAAATTTAAAATATTAACAATTTCATTATGTTGTTTAATTATTATCATAACCAAATTATAAAACTTATACTTATTTATTACAAAACATAACGAATAATTAATATTCATTTTTAATTTGATTGTAAAGTCAGATTATCTGCCACATACGATTAAAGATTTCCAAGAATAAATTTAAAAATAAAAAAACAATAAATTAAATTAAATTAATGATAAAAGGCATTAGATCTTTAATAACTATGACATAAGCAAGCATTTAAAATTTTTATCGAACAATCGTTTGCTTTATTAATGAAGAAGGGGCTTGCAATATTTTCAATTAATAATGATATGCTTATTTTCAAAAAAGATTGCTTCGATTTTCGTGATTTACGAAAAAGTATATTCAATTTCTGAAATGTGAAATTCGTTACTTTAAAACTACTTACAAGTGGTAACCACTTTTTTCAATATCGTGTGAACAAATCAGAAATCCGCTATTTGAAAGCACTGCACGTGCTTGCCTTTGCCGTCACCTCCCCACCCCTCTGCGCCATCATACCGCCACATAGTCAAGCTCTCACGACATTCCCCCGGTCTCTCACAAACAATTTGCAGACTAAAAAAAGTATTTCAATTTGTGTGATTGCAACTTTCCTTTCCTACTGAGCTCACGAGGATGAGAGTGGTTTTCTTATACGTATGCGAAAAAGCTCGCTGTCGACGCTTGGCAATCTAAATCTTGTGCTAC